CGTGTAGGCCTTAGACACTGGGTGTGAAGTCGGGGTTTTCATCTCTCTCCGTGACTTAATCAATAGGATTTCTCATTTCCTTATTGATAAAATGGAATAATAATAAGAATGGCTAACATTTCTCAGTCATGTACTACTTACTGCTCTAAGTGGCTCACATATATTAACTCATTTAATTCTCACAACAACCCTATGAGGTAGGTGCTATTATAGATCCTCATTGTACAGCACAGCACTTGCCCAAGGTCACACAGCTGCTCAGCCTTACTTAGTGCCTTAGCTCTTAACCACCATGTTCTGCTTACCTGATGGGAATCTGAAGAAGATCACAAGAGAAATTAAATATGTGATGCTTATTGCTGTGCCTGGCACAGAGCAGGAGTTTGACTAAGCATAGCATGTAGCTGTCACAAGTGGCACATAGCAGCAAAATAGCATTCCAATATCTGCCTGTGGGCTGTTAATATAATGACTGCGGCTCGCCTGGCCAAATCTTCATATTTATATAGATTTCTTTTTTCACCTTTAGCAAGTCATCCAGATGGTTCCAAATACTTACTATAGATAGCTATTATTCAAAAACAGATTATTTAAAAGATTGCTTTCAATTCCAGCCAGTTCTCTTGACATCAAATTTTGCAGCCTATACACAGAATTGTACACCTTAAATCTATGTAACTTTGCTAACAATTGTCACTCCAATAAAGTTTAATAAAATAAAAAATTGCAGCCTATATTTCTGAGAATGGTCAATGGGATTACATCCTGTGCCACACAATGACGTTTTGGTCCACAACATAATGCATATGTGATGGTGGTTCCGTAAGATTATAATGGAGCTGAAAAATTCCTATTGCGCAGTGCCATTGTGACATCATAGCACAATGCATTACTCTTGAGTTTGTAGAGATGCTGGTATAAGCAAACTTACTGCACCATACCTGATATACAAGTATAGCACATACAATTATGTATAGTACATAATACTTGATAATAATAATAATGACTATGTTACTACTTTATGCATTTACTATACTATATGTTTTATTATTATTTTTGAATGTACTCTTTCTACTTATAAAAAAAATAAGTTTGCTGTAAAACAATATGCCAGGTTATGCCAGCAGTAGCCTCATACATCTCATGTTTACCGCATCTCTTGATTGCATGGTTTCTCTTGTGTTTGATTTCATCTCGTTTTTTCTTCATCATGGTCCTTACGGTACAAAATCCACTATTAACATTTCCAGTAAGAGGCCACCTCAAATAACTGACTTGGAAACAAAATTAAAAGTGATTAAGTACTATAAAGGTAGAAAATCGGTGATGGTTATTGCTCGCCCGTCAGGCATGTCCCATTCCACCATAGCTACGATCTTGAACAAAAACAAAGTGACAGAAGCTGTTAAAAAATCAGCTTCACTGAAGGCATTGAGACTGAAAAAAATTGAGATGGTCCTATATCAGACAGGGAGAAACTTCTAATGACCTGAATTGAAGACCAGACATAGAAGCCTGTCTCTCTCAGCACCATAACGATTACGGCCAAAGCGAGAAGTTTGTTTGCAATAATGTTGAAAAAGGTGGCTGGACCTGGTTATGAGGCTTAATTTACTGCTAGCTTAGGTGAGTTAAATGATTCAAGAATTGTTCGTTGTTCATTACATAATGTGAAAGTGAGTGGTGCATCTGCAGGTGCTGATGTGAAGGCAGCTGAAGAATTTCGGGAAACTCTAGATATGCTGATAGTGGAGGAAAATTATTTGCCAGAGCAAATATTCCATATGGATGTAATTTCTATATTCCGAAAATGGATGCCTGAAAGGACTCTCATCCCTAAGGAGGCCCAGTCAATGCCAGGATACGAGGCTTTTAAGGACAGGGTAACAGTCTTGCTTGGGGGCAATGTTTCAGGCTACACATGGACACCATTTGTGATCTGGCACAGTGAGAGCCCAGGGCCTTCAAGCATGTCAATAAGTACATGTAGTGAGTGTCCTACAAGAGCAATAAGAAGTCATGGATAACCCAGCTCCCCTTCCCTCTTGAATTGCTATGCCAGCAAAATGGAGAAGTACTGTCTGGAGAATAACACACCTTTCAAGATTTTGCTTATTGTTGGTAGTGCTCCTGGACATCCTCCTTTTATTGGTGATCTTCATTCCAGTATCAAAGTGGTGTTTCTCCCTTCAAATACCACCTCTTTGATACAACCAATGAGCCAAGCAGCTTTTAAGGCCTCCTACCTGAGAAGGGCTGTTGCTGCAACTGAGGAAAACGCTGAGAAGACACTGATGCAATTCTAGGGTTTACATGT